AGAGTAATTAAGAGAACTCCATAAACTTAAGTAAACAACTATCAAAAAGAAAAATACACAAAAAATATGGTACAAATTATAGGTAACTCACTCCGGAGTTATCCCTCCGATACAACTCCTCCCTCGGAGTATTTCGAGTGGAGTTGTCTCACAGGATTTATCATATCCGACTTCCCTAAACGCATACTAAATCTGTTAACATGTGCAGATATTTGCTTGAAATTTTTTACTAATACAAAGATTTAGGTCGAAGAAGTGGTTTTTTCCCGTCACGCATCCAGTTTTAGGACTTCCAGGTATATAATGTTTCAAAATAATGCTATTTTGTATTCCATATTTTGTATAAGATAATGTTTATCCGTAAATAAGCTCTTTCAATGGTATACAACCAGCTAAATAATATTTAGTATTATATTATAACTTTTACACAATTATAATTTTATAATTGTGTAAAAGTAATAGCATGCTAATCAAACTACCTGATATATAATTAATTCTCGAAAACAAAATAATAAAAAAATGTGAGGTATTATTATTTTGTGAAAAATATTATACACACAGATTTGTTCTTATTTCATATATAAGGTTCACTGCATTATTTTCATATAAAAACTAGCTGTAAGTGGAATTATGTCTTGAGGCAATTATGGCATCGTGCCTTAAGGCAAATTGCTTGAACTTCCCGCACCGTAACGAAATGTTCCAGGAATACTGAATGTTTTCAAATAGATTATTATAAATATTGTAACATTGTGTAATATTTATAAGAATTATATAAACCGAATTGCAGAGTTGAAATTATTTGTTTAAAGTATATTAGAACTATAGTCAGAATTAAAAATAAAATCTGAAATATTTTCGATATACAAAATACTAAAAAAAAAAAAAAAAAGATTTTTTTTTCAAAATCAATTATTTTGTTAAGACAAGCAGAAAGTTCTTTGTATCATTTAAATCGGACGCTTAATTCTCTCAAAAACTGCCATTTTTTACATATTTAGCTCCGTATCTTCGAAATGGCAGGACCTGCCTTTGCCAAAAACTATTGAACCCTTCTCCTAATCATTACTAATTGAATGTTTTTTAGATCATTCAAATCGGATACTCCGTTCTCTCAAAAAGTCGATTTTTATTTTCTGCACTCTTTGCTCCGTATCTCCGAAACGGCTGGACCTGCCTTTGCCAAAAACTAATCAGCTCTTTTCCCAATCAATAGGAATCGAATGTTTTTTGAACCATTCAAATCGGTTGATCCGTGCGCCCTAAAACGTGACTGGAAATTTGTATCCACACATACATACACACACACACACACACACACACACACACACATCCATTTTTTCTGAGGTATGCCAAAACGTTCAGAAACCTTCAAAACGTCGAGAAATGTAAAAATTTTCAATTCCGATTTTCGGCCCATTACAATAACTTACCCTACGGGAAGTTAATAAACATATTCAAAGAGTTCCATATTTTCTCTTCAAAAATAATTACAAAATTGATTTTAATTTCCAAGTTTTTTGTGAAATTGAGATTTGTATGCATATTGAAATGCATAAAATAGTAATTAAACAAAAATGTTTGAACTATTTGTAAATTATTTCCAAAGTCTTAATAAATCCTTAGAAATGTTAATAACACACCAGAGAACACATTTGTGTCAAGTATTATGTTTCAAAGTTGTCGGAGTTGTAGAGTTGTTAAGTGGATATAACTCCTCTCTGAAGCGGAGTCAAATCCTAATCGATCCGGCTTCGGATATAATAAGCCCATCTCTAGTACAAATTATTCCGATTAATAAAATATTGATCAAAAATATTCTGCATCATCAGACCTGATCGTTGATGATACAGGAGTGATACAGGGAAGTTTGTTTTAAAGCCGGTGCGTGTTTTAGGTCTTATCTCAATTATCTTTTCCTCTATTTTGTTCTAGATAAAATAATAGTTTCCAATTAAAAAAAATCTTATTTTCTGCCCCATCAGGCATCGTCAGTCGTTCGGAAGCGATTGAAACAACACTCTTAAAATCGTTCGAATCGCCTGAGAAATAATCTATCACGGCTAATTCTTGTCCGGATATCGAACCGAAATTCCCTCCGGGCGATCAGATATCCAATAAAACGACTGGTGAAGACATCGATATCAGAAATTCTAGGCATTCTGTTTCATAATTTCCTTCTTTTATCATCTGACGTAGCCTAGGGTCGTAGAAAAAGTTTAAATTGAGTTTCGGATAGCAATTACTTTGATTTTTTAAATAAAACTTGTATGAACGCGCTGGGTGATATTGACATGTGGGAGATGGAAAATTATACGTTTTTCTTTGTACGAAAATGTTGAATGATGTGTATTATATAATATATGAAGTCAATAGATCGTTATAGTGACGCGATATGATTCAGTTGATGTAAAATTTACTAAGGTATTTTTTATACTTTATATCAATATTTTTCCACATGAGCCAAATACTTTCGCGTAGTTACCCTACCCTACATAATGATGAGCCGAAAATCGAAAATATTTTTTTTGCATATCTTCACGTTTCAGAAGTTTCTGAACATTTTGGGATACTCCAGAAAAAATGGATGTGTGTGTGCGTGTGTGTTCGTATTTTTTCGTCCAAATTTTCGGGCGCACGGATCAACCGATATGAATGGTTAAAAAAACATTCGATTTATATTGATAGGGAGATGTGCTGATTAGTTTTTGGCAAAGGCAGGTCCAGTCGTTAGGAAAACACGGAGCAGAGAGTGCAGAAAATAGAAATTATTGGGTTATCAAATGTTTTACATACATTACTATTTCTAAAATTAAACCTAGAAATAGACGTTAAAAAATTGAATTCATAAAATGGATTTTAATATGTGCTTTCTACGTCCAATATTATATTTTAAAACTATCATATTACATTTCTGTTAAAAAGCCAATCAAATATTTCCAAGCTATCTATAATCAATTCATTTCGCCTACATCTTTCATTTACCTCAGAATAATTGAAAATGATTATAATCGACATTCTAAATCGCGGTGTCAGTTTTAAAACACTTTTTAATTAAAAGTTTTTCAATAGCTTCTGGGTCATATCGATTAAAAGTTATAGAACATATTTCAATCAGTTAATATTTATAAACAAAAATTATATGGATCATAAAGTTTGACATGGATTATACGATTTTACGTCGTCACATTAATATCCTTCCTGAATGAAAATCTGCAGCATGTCAACTTTATATTTTTGAAGTAATAATAATGTGCAGCAGATTTACGATAGCACGCATAAATTTTAGTTATAAAGGAAAATATGAAACAGTTTTTTTATTAGAAGTAATATCCTGAAGCTATTTTTATAGCGACACGAAGCATGTTTCACTTAGTAGAGGGAAAATTATGAAAATATCTGTGTAATAGAGGATTTATATCTACAAAGTGGAATGAGAACAAATTAATAAAATGAATGAGTTAAAAAAAAGTTCAATAAATTCATATTGAATAAATATTCTTCAGAAGGAAATTATTAAATAAATAAAAGAGTTGCGAATATAACATAAAAATTCGTTCCTAGAATTAGTTAATTTGCGCGATGGAAAGTTTTACCGAGAATTCATATTTCCAGAAGTGATTTTGCGTTTTTTATTTACATTACAAGTTTTTTCTAAATCAAAAATAGTGGGAGTAATTAAAAGAACTCTATAAGGATTATTTTAAACTCAAACAAACAACTAGCAAAATTGAAAATATACCAAGGAGAAAATTCTAATATTCAACTATTGAAAAAATTGATAACGAGGTGATTATCAAACTAAAATTAACCCTTCAAACATTTCGACAAATTTCAATTACGTTATAAAATATTTAGTACAACAATTTGCACCTGCTGAAACCGACCATGTTCATAAATACGCATAGTCAAAATTTATATTAAATTACAATAACCAATCAAATATATTCATTATTGTAATATTAATCTGCTGTTCGTTTATGTTAATTAAATAGGAAACATATATTAAATGAGATATTACAGGTTAATTATGTAGGTACGTTCCGCTATATATTAAATATTAATCTACATATCGCAAACAACATTAGTCGATATGTGTATCTATTTATAACCATGCTTATTCGCCAGAAATTATTGAGATTCAGTATCATGTAAATAGTAGCAGTAATTTGCCCAATTTGTCTAAAGAGACTATTACTTTAGACTAAAGTAATAATTGTTTGAATTTTGCCAAGCCGCTGGCGGAATGTAGATTGTTAAAATTTTCAGAATTTTGTTAGTTAATATTAATTGTAACCGTGTTTATCGTTATTAGGTGATAAAATAAATTGCAACCACTTACAACATTAATCCACATGGAACAACTGACGGTAGAACTGCTATAATTATCAGAAACATAATTAAATTAAATAAAATATAAATAAAAGTTTGTTTATCGAATCCAAATAAGTGGTATCTATATCACACTTCGTTAAATAGTCATTTAAATCTCTATATTTGGTATTTATAAATTCTAAGGGCAAAAATCTTACCAAAATTAAGCTTTTCAACAGCCAGCGTATAGTTTAACCACAACTCGAATGCCTACATGCTACAACTTACACACTTTATATAAATATGTAATGTTTTTCTTTACTTTTTGAATCATTTCTAAATATTGCCAACTATATTAAAAGATTTATTGTAAATCTATATATTATATTATCGTTTAACGTAAATATATAGATTTTAACATGGTGTATTGTAATCCACTGCCGTGGACCCCCATTTTCATTTCAAGGACCCCCAAATTTTGTTTTTGCCGCAGTGGACCCCTTGAAAGTTGCCATGGACCCCTGGGGGAATCATAGAATAATAGTATTACTTTAGACTAAAGTAATGATTGTTTGAATTTGCCCAAGCCGCTGGCGGAATGCAGATTGTTATAATTTTCAGAATTTTGTTAGTTAATTAATTATGATTATGTTTATCATTAGTAGGTGATGAAATAAATTTCCTACCTTGTCAAAGGCGTGAGGTCTGTGCAGAGGTTGACTAGCTCCTGATATGGAGCCGCTGGAGCTGGCGGCCTGCATTGAAGGGGGCGTGGGACCGGGTCGGCCTTCCGCCGCGCTCGGTGCTTGATCGTCCATCGGAACTCTGGGAACGAAAAAATAGGAAATTATTTAAAGTACTCGTGAAATTAAAGAAATTTAATTAAGAATAATTGATTTACACAGTTTCTATTAGTTTATCTTTCAGCAAAATTCAGAGTTTTTACATATTTATTAATATATTTTTGTTATTTGACCAACAATCAGGGGATAAGAGCCCAATGTGACTACATATTGTGATTATACTTCTTATACTACATTTATATTTCACAAAATAAGGGGGAAGGATTGAACTATCTATGATAAATTTTTCTTCTAATACTGATAACATATTTTTAATTCAGGGTTTTAAAATTTCAAATAAATGTATATTCAGCTACTTTTACATATAAATATTTCAATATTATTTTTTAAATAATGTTGAAATCAAACTATTTGATTCAAATGCTGGATATTACATATTGAAGAATATTGTTTCTATACTTTCATGAATTTTTATCATTTCACTATCGAGTTCTTGAATTTTTGAAAACTTTTACGAAATTGAAGTATTGAAAAATAATAAGGAATAACTTTGACAGTGGAGCTCTCAAAAGTGTCAGCTTTTGAAAGTATTTTGTTTGAGGAAAGTTTTAGTGACGCCTCTACTAACTGAAAACACATTTTAAAATAGAGTAAGTGCATTAAAACTTTTGATGTCACATAAAATGAATACTTAAGCCTTATAAACTACACCTAAGAAATATGATAATGATAACCTAATAATTAAAAAAATAACTTAAATTTTTCTAAAAAGCGTGAAAGCGTAAAGTAGTCCATTGTTTTAACTTGATATTTTCAATTTGAGTGAAAATGTTTTTTTAATTTCCTGATAATTGTTATATTGTGCCTTGATGCTACTAAATATATAAAATCTACTAAAAAAATTATATTGTAATCATAGAATAATATATAAAATTAAGTTTTGATTCATTTTCATTTCATGCAATAGTGTTGATAGACAACACAATATAAATTAAACATTTGTTTACAATCATGTCAGTTACAATCATGTCAGTACGAAAATTTATCAATCTATGAATAATTTTTTAAACCGCTAGGACTTTTTATTATATAACGAGTTTTATCAAAAGAATTTTAAATTTCGTTTAAAAAAAAGAAAAAATCATCTCATGATCAAAATAAAAATTTTATACAGATCAAACACCTAACATATGACATCCTATTTGAGTAAACCATATTTACTCTGAAATAAACTTCCATTTCAATTTCCATCCTGGCAAATTACCAAGTGCACATAAGCGATAATTATAATTTTACAAATCTCATACCGTCCTTTGGCTGAAATCCAAGAAGTGTTTTTAATTCAATTAAGTTCGTTATAAATTTTACATAATTTTTGGAAGTTTTAATACACAGTGACATGGCGCCCCGTAAATGCCGGTATGAAATATGGTCGAAAACACAGTAAATCAATGTGGCTGTAACATTTTCATGGAAACTGCAAAAAACTTATAAATCATTTTTATTGGATTATTTATTACAAGGGAAACAGAGTTAGTTGATTTGTTAGTTTTGATTTGGAATGAAAACTGTTTATAGAACTCTGATTGTAAATGATACATTTATTCATTATGGCAAGGCAATTTTGTTGCAAGGCAAATGGCATGAATTTTTTGATATCTGAGAATAAATAAATAAGAATTTTAAAAATTTCCAGTTTTTTGCTAGGTAATTAAAGAAAAACAGCCCGAGTGGTCTTGCCAAAAAAAAACCGGCTTAAGTCCAACCCCAAAAAACTTTCCTCTAGAAACCATTCATCCTGAGCAACATTAGACCTTACTTCTAATAGATTTTTCCAATGAATCTATTGTCTCTGAAGTATTTATTCTTCTACATTTGACAATACCTGTCTCATGTATATATATTTTTGATGACACAGCCGATAGTGTTACGGTTTAGTATCAGGTACATTTTATGATAATAACGTCGCCGTTTTCTCTGGGATAAAGGCGATAACCTGCGGTGTATTCACAAGATACGGTCGAGAGTTATCTTTAGCTAAAACGATCTTTAAAACACTTCTGGTAGTATAAGTTGTTTTATGTGAGGTACTGTGGCTTTAGACACAGAAAAAAATTATATGACACGTTCCCAACATTAGACGAAGGATACTTGGAATATGAAAGACAGTTTGTTGCTATTATTTGGATTTTGGGTATACTGGATTCAAATTTAGTAAGGAGCTGATGATGGTCAGTTAACCTCTGTTAACCTATGCTTGCATTATATATTTGTCTTGAACGTTAACTTATTATATTTTATATAGATTTCTATAAAAATACAAAAAAGCTGTATTGAAATGCACATCATATTATTAATTTGGGTTGCAAATAGTGTTTGAAAATTATTAAGGGTTTAATGCAAGCATAATAAGATTCTAATAATGTTGAATCTAGAAGTAATTATAAATTACTAATTTGTTTTATTTATGCTGGTTCATTGCAATTTTTTGCTAAAATTCTATCTCGATCTACCAGAAGCAAGTTGCGTTGAAAAACAGGAAAAAGTTCCAAGTTTTTTCTGAAAACCACATGTGACATACTTGGCAGAACTGTCGATTGCACTTATGTGATTCTATTCAGAAGTTCAGTGAAATAAAAGTTTTTCTTTTAGCTAATTATTTTACAACACGACCTTATTAACTTCTCAAAGATTAAGTTTGTTTTTGAACCATAATTCGATTTGCTAATTTGATATTTTTTGATGCTCCAAAACTTTCTGATTCATTTGACTCAAAAATTATAAAATAAATTAAATAATAATCATAAAGTATGTGTAATAAGATCAATATCACTAGCATACAATGGCACTCTATAAATAATTTCATAATTTTTAAATGAACAGCAACCCACGTGCATAAAAATGATAAAATTCTATATAAAGTTCATAATTTAGTCTTACTGACATAAATTAAATTTAATTTAATATATCTTGATATTTTAGCAAGAGCATTCAATTTTTATTATGCACTTTACAATTGAATTTAAATGCATGTAGGTTGTAGTAAAAATATAAAATATGAAAATACACCAAATACCAACGCAATATCCATATTTAAACTCTTAATAGAAGACAATAAATTATTTTATATCTATTTCTTTTATTGACTTATTTTATTGCGCTTGCATTAATATTCCTGATAGTTTTATATATTTGCGTCAATGAAGTTATTTTTAAAAATTTATTTCTTTAATTCAATCGATAGTTTTCATGCATCTTAACTTTTGTGATATTTTGTAGGAGATATCGCAATAAAATGTATATAAGTTGGAGAAAAGTTCCAAAATCAATAAATTGATACTCAGTAAAGTTTAATATAATAATCTTACGAAGAAAAACTAGATAAATATTTTTTTCTAAATATGTAAGAATTAGCGCTATAAAAAGGTTATCTACCAATTAGAGAAGACCAGTAAATTTAAGCAGATTAGAAAGCATCACGTTTAAATTTAGGATGTCATTGTTGCTGAACAAAGAATTATATAACAGTCTGTTATCATCAACTCATATGAATGTAGACCCGTAACATAGCATTATTCTAACATTTCTTTTTTATTCGATATTTGGCCCTTAAATTTCTAAATTCAGAAGTCCATTTTTGCAAATTTTACGTAAAATGCACGCTTAATATAAGTGCAGATAACTGCTCATTGTTGTAACATAAGTTGTAACATAAGATATCTACCGGACAGTTGTAAATTATATGATAAAATAAGAAAAATTAAACATACTAGACCAACATCCAAGTCCACGAATGCAACTATTAATGAGAAAACATCAACCAGAAGGCTCAAAAAAATGGTCAAAAGACCTACTACCTTAATTTAAACACTGTTTCTTCTACTAACACAGATTATTGTCCACTGGGGAATCTCTTCAGTGGAGGAGACTTCTAAATGACATATTTAATGGATCATATAAGCTCATAGAAATATGAATTTCTGATGGAGTTTATAATAAATAAATGAAAAAAATTATATATGGGAGAAATGTAGGATTTATTCCTATGTCTATTACCCCACCTGTGAAGACGCGTAGTTTCGCCGGCGGTCCCCTTGGTCCGCCACGCGAATGTCTTGTGCGGCTTTTGTTGTTTTGGCTGCTGCCGCTGATGGTGACAATGGCGGTTGTGATGGTGGTCGAGCTGCACTGTCGTCAGATAGCGTCGTCCGCCAATTTGCTCTAGCCGAACTCCATGACCGAACCGGTGTTGCGCGTTTGTCCGCCGCCAGTGGCGGTCCGGTGCCCGCCCGGCGCCCCCATGATCGCCGCAGTCACCCCCGCATGTGCACTGGAATAATAGAAATTAATAAATTAATTAATTGATTAATAATTAATTAACTTCCCGTAGGGTAAGTTATAGTAATCGCAAAAAAAGTCAAAAATGAAAATTTTTATATATCTTTACGTTTCACAGGTTTCTGAACATTTTGGCATACCTTAGAAAAAATGGATGTATGTGTGTGTGCGGATACAAATTTTCGTGGACGATTTCGGGAACACGGTTCAACCGATTTTGATTATTCAAAAAACATTCGATTGCTGTTGATAAGGAGACGTGCTGATTAGTTTTTGGCATAAGGACGGTTAGCCGTTTCGAAGATACGAGGCAAAAAGTGCCACAAACGGTAACCCAGTTTTTAAGAGAACGGAGCGTCCGATTTTAATAATTCAAAAAACATTTTACTTGTATTGACAAGATGAAGAATTTTTATGAAGGCAGGTCTAGCGGTTTCGGAGATCTAGTGAAAAAACTAAAAAAAATGCCATTTGGCGGTCAAAAATGATCATTAGACATATGCACATCAAATTATCAAATATTTTATAGAGATTTTAACAATAAGTATAAATTGGTGATTACATTCCTATGGGTTCCGTACCAATGTTTATCCGTCAGACGGCGATGCGGCGCTTACGCGCTTCTTAATGCAGTATATTGCGTCTGCAGATCTTGTCCATCAGACTCTAATTCTCTTGGTAAATACAATTTGAGGCGCCTACTTATTTACAAAATATACAAATACTCAATAAATCGGATATTTGGTTCAAATGACACGGGACTTTTCTACTTTAGGCCTACAATCGGTGTAGTGGTAAAATCAATTAACACATATTGAGACTGTCTTCTCTATTTTTGAAAGAAAACAGAGTCTAAAATTAGACTATTTATTAGATTGTAAATAAACGACCCAAAGTGAGGATAGTACAACGCATAATATGTTATCGATCAATGGTTATGAACCATTAGCTTTGTACCTCGAATATTCATTAACATGGACATACATTGATTTAATGAGGGATTAAATTGTGATATAGATACAGATCAATCTACTAAATACGTTAAATGACTTTGCTTCTACAAGATAAAAGACTTTCGCGAAATAATTGAAAACTGGCGACACATCTTATAAGTTTCTGTTTTTCATCATATTGCTCATTATTTTCACTAACAAATCGCAAAATAAATGAATTTAACAAAAACAACATAAATAATTATGTTTTCAAGCTGTCAATTACAAAATTTAAAAATGCATAAATAATCACCGAAGTATTATTAGAATTATTTTTATCATTCGATGTTACAAAATCGCAAAAGTGCTGACCTAGCCTAAACTGCTTCGCTCGTGACCTAAATTATAGAAAATTTCGACATCAAAATGTAGTTCCGAACAAAATTGCCAAGGTTCTAAACGAGTAAATTGGATATTAGCTATTTCCAAAGTGGTTGAAAAATTTACCACTATCAGAAAAAAAATCACATGAGCCATGGTAACTTCATAAAAAAATACATACCGTCAATACCAATTCTTCAAAATACTATTAAAAACTTCCCGAAGAAGAAGTTTATGTTTTCATCAAAAAAATCCGATTCGCTAATTTTATGTTTTCTCGACGTTTCAGGCTATTCTGAATCGAATAAGGCCAAATTTGGAAAAATGTATGTATGTGTGTATGTGAACAGATTTTTGGCCGTAAATCCACGTTTTTCCGAAAACGACTGGATCGATTTCAAAAATTTAAAAGCCTTTCGATGTATCTTGAAGAGGACTATCGTTTGTCAGTTTTGTGCGACGATCTGCCAAGCCGTTTCTTTATAATTTGAAAAAAAGTGTTAAACTTTTCGTCCATATTTCAGCTCATACTAACGAATCGATTTTAAAAAATCAAAAACTGTTCGAAAGATATTAGTTGGTAATGATACTGATTAGTTTTAGGTGAAAATCTACCGAGCCGTTTTCTTGTAATAAACTGTTGAAAAAAAAATTCAAGCCGACTTTTATGGAACTTTTTTTTAGCAATATATATCATGGTCTTATAGAACTTACTGAAATAATACGGCCTTACGACAAGTAGTTTAATTTTAAAAATTCAAAGCTAGAGAAAATTAGTAGTTTTTTTGACGTTAGCTAAAATTAAAATTAGACGATTTACTTGGTATAACGATAGAGTACATGGTCTTAATGAACATACTAGATCATTAAAGTCTTACTAGTTCAATTATAAAAATTGTTGATTTTTAAAAATTTGCTTTTAGAAATTACTCGAGTTAACGTGTTCGTTCGTTTTCAATTATGTGTAATAATTCCACTCGGAAATCTTTTAATCACTCATAAATTAATTTATTTTGTATTATTAAGTCGATTATTTACACATATCGGGAAGTTGCATGTAACTTGCCTCAATGCAAAATACCAACACCAACTAGTTAAAAACATGTTACCATGGGAGACTGATACCATACATGTCATGTTATACGAGAATAGGCCCTAAATGTCAGCTATATGAAATGGCATTTGCGTAAATTACTAATGAAAATTAACCGTTACTAATTAATAATTGTTTGCTTTGTAACATCCACAGAAACTTGCGAGCGGGGGTTGCAAATCCGCCACAAATGCGCCCACTACCCTTTAATTTAATATAGTTGCATAATGAATTATGTCGCAACATGTGACGTTGTTATATCATTACCCATATTAGATCGCACAACTAACTTTATGGATGGAGTTTATTACATAGAGTTTGTGTTCTAGTACAAAATGAAATTTTCATATGAATAATTTCAGGTTCATTAAAATTTTTGTTGTATTTATTCAACAACATTGTACCATGTGAGGTTATTGCATCATTGCTCTTATTAGATCACACAAATTACTTGATTACTATAGAGCCAATAAAAAACAATCTTGTTGCATAGGATGTTTTAACACAATTTCAATTAATTATTTTAAAAAGTATTTGAATTTCGATAAAAACATCGGTGGATACAAATTACAATATTATATTACAAAACAGTGCCTTCTGCTGAGCTCATTAGATTAATTAACACTTTACGCGCCTCCTCATTTCATCAAATTCATTAAAACTTGTTTAGAAGAAGACGTTTTGGGTTACATTTCAAATTCTATTGTACTAACAAAATATTAAATTAGAGTTTTCATTATTATTATTTAGAATAAATTGTCGATAAATTATTTTAATAACCGGCTTACAATCCGAATCGGTTAATCGGAAACTAGTTTCATCACGTCCAAAAAAAAAAAATAATACACCAAAATAATCAAATAATTGGGGAAAAAATTAAATATATAAAATTTAATATATATATATATATATATATATATATATATATATATATGTATACATATAAATATATATTTATAATTATTTCAATGTTTTCATTATTAAATGTAGAAATATTGTTAAAGTTGAATGATTACCTATTATCCACTAATCTAGTACTGTAACTAGTAATATTTAAAAATATAAAAGAATTATATTACAAAATAGAAACTAATAATATTTAAAAAAGCAAAGAATTTTTTTTATATAAATTTTCTGTTTCAATATAAATTTTAAGCTATTTTAATACACATTTTAATTGAATTAGCAATAATCCCTATATTATTGAATGTATGTTAAATAAAAGAAAAATATTTCTGTATAAATCTGCTACTTCATTATATATTTTAATCTGCTTAAAATATATTTTAATTGAGGTATATATGATCCAATAATCCTAAAAATATGTATTAAACGAAATAAATTTATCCTGCATTTTGCTTTTTCAATGTATATTTAAATAGAATTAATATTTATTTTAATTGAATTATTTACTAATCACTGATATAAATAATATTGAAACTTAATATATGCGAAATAAAAAAAATCTACATAAAACTTTTGTAAGAATATATATTGTAATAAACATAATAATCTATTGAAGATTTTATATTTATTTGAAACTATAATAAATGATAAATAAAAAAATGATTATTTCTGCATAAAACTGGGGTATTAGAATATTAAAAATTCATTTCCGTAAATGAAGTTCCGGATGAATTTTAATGTTCAAATTATGAATTGAATAATAAAATAGTATGTATGGAGCATGTTTATTATTTATGTTAAAACCAAGGCCTATAAGTGTTAAAATAAAACAGTCATTCACTTCTAAAATACTTGGTCAAAATTTTTATATAAATGTTATATCAGTTCTGTTTGAAGGATAAAAGTCAGTAACAAAGATATTATGTGAGTGATTACCATTGTTAGCTTCCATAATCCAGGTTTATTTAATAAATTTACCTGTTTGAAAAAATTCTGCACTGAATTCCATGATTTATTAACGTTATTTAGCACTTTGGAAACTATCAGTGTACTATAATCCGTGTAATTTCTCACTAAAATTACTGGTCTATATTTATAGGTAACCGGAGAATCTATTTTGGCAAATTAAATAACACTTTTGGAGAAAATTTATTCAAATTATTATTTTTGATGCAGAGTCGCGCATAATATATAATTTCTCACTAAAATTACTGGTCTATATTTATAGGTAACCGGAGGAGAATCTATTTTGGTAAATTAAATAACACTTTTAGAAAAAAATGGTTCAAATTATTATTTTTGATGTAGAGTCGTGCATAATATGTAATTTGAATATTTTGAACGCGATGCAGAATATGGAAAATATGAAAATTTGTAAATATTAACACATATGTATTTAGCGGTTTTGAACGATCGTTTAACACATCATTTATAAACTAATGAAGCACGAACAAAATCCACAGGGTTATTTATTCAGCAAAACATACAAAATATTCAACTGAACCAAACCAAACCAAACCAAACCAGG